AAAGCAATCCTTATGAGATTTAAAAACCCTGTCAACTTTTTTATTAAAAATTAAATAGGCATGCCATCCAAAAAGTAAAACATGGGAAATTTTTTATCAATGGCTAGAAAAAATGAGTCAGAGAGAAATTATGTAATTTTGAATTTATATTAATAAGAAGGCTATTGAGTGATGAATTAACATATTGTTTATAATTAACTACCGTATATGCCGGCGTACAAGGCGACCCGGCGTATAAGACAACCCCCGTCTTTATCGCCAAGCCGCATTCCTAGAACGTCGTCTTATACACCGGAAACTACCAGTATTTCCGGCGTATAAGACGACTCGGCGTATAAGACGACCCCCGTCTTTGGCGCCGATTTCAGCCTTATACCCCGGCATTTATGGTATATCAATTATTGTTAGTTAAATACATGTACCCAGACATCATGCTGTTTGCTAAATATTGAAAATGTTATTTGGAAAAACCCCAACCCCAACCCCGGAACACAGGGGAACTACCAGAGGACTGGAAAAGAGCTGATGTAGTTCCCATCCTCAAAAAAGGAAAAAAAATGGATCAAGGAAATTACAGACCTATCAGCCTGACCTCAATACCTGGGAAGATCCTGGAAAAGATAATCAAACAACGAATCAACGAACACCTAGAGGCCAACAAAGTCATTACTAAAAGCCAACATGGGTTTGTCAAAAATAGATCATGCCAGACAAATCTTATTGCATTCTTTGACCAAGTGACAAAATTAGTGGATCAGAGGAATGCTGTGGACATAATTTACTTGGACTTCAGTAAGGCATTTGATAAAGTAGATCACAACCTACTACTTGATAAGATAGAAAAATGTGGCGTAGACAGAATCACCATCAGATGGATCCGTAGCTGGCTGACCGGCCGTACTCAGCGAGTGGTCCTCAATGGAACTGCATCTATATGGAGGGAAGTGTGTAGTGGGGTGCCCCAGGGCTCTGTTCTAGGCCCAGTACTCTTCAACAACTTCATCAACGATTTGAATGAAGGGATAGATGAGGAACTCATCAAATTTGCAGACAACATCAAGCTGGCAGGAATAGCCAACACTCCAGAAGACAGGCTTAAGATACAGAAGGATCTGGACAGACTTGAACACTGGGCACTAACTAACAAAATGAAATTCAATGGTGAAAAAAAGCAAGGTTCTACATTTAGGAAAGAAAAACCAAATGCACAAGTACAGCATAGGTGGCACCATGCTCAATAGTAGTAACTGTGAGAGGGACCTTGGAGTCCTAGTAGACAATCACCTAAATATGAGCCAGCAGTGTGCTGCAGCTGCCAAAAGGCCAACACAGTGCTAGGCTGCATTAACAGAGGGATAGAATCAAGATCACGTGAAGTATTAATACCACTCTTCAATGCCTTGGTAAGGCCACACTTGGAATACTGCATCCAGTTTTGGTCACCACGATGTAAAAAAGATGTTGAGACTCTAGAAAGAGTACAGAGAAGAGCAACAAAGATGATTAGGGGACTGGAGGCTAAAACATATAAGGAACGGTTGCGAGAAGTGGGTATGTCTAGTTTAACGAAGAGAAGGACAAGGGGGGACATGATAGCAGTATTCCAATATCTCAGGGGCTGCCATAAAGAAGAGGAATTAAGCTATTTTCCAAAGCACCTGAAGGCAGGACAAGAAGCAATGGGTGGAAACTAATCAAGGAGAGAAGCAACCTAGAACTAAGGAGAAACTTCCTGACAGTGAAAACAATTAATCAGTGGAACAGCCTGCCTCCAGAAGCAGTAAATGCTCCAACACTGGAAGTTTTTAAGAAGAGACTGGACAGCCATTTGTCCGAAATGGTGTAGGGTTTCCTGCTTGAGCAGGGGGTTGGACTAGATGACCTCCAAGATCCCTTCCAACTTTACTACTATTACTATTACTTAATCCCGATCCTACCTTACCCCTAACCCTATAAAAACTAATAAAATCTATACAAAAAGAGATAATTTTCTTAGATACTGTTTCTGATTGCCAGGCATTCCCTTGTTCCATCCAATCTTCCCCATATCATTGTAAAATATTCTGTTTCTATTCAGCCCTTTGCCTCTGTACCTGTGTGCCTATTTTTACCTACTTTCAAATTAGTCCATGGCCTTTGTTTCTTGTCTCTCATTTCTGTCTCTTGTTATATTGACAGTAAATGCCACGACATTTCAGCCTTGTCTGTCACTTTTCTTTCTCAACAGTAAATATAAAACTGAATTGTCTCTTGTTAATTGCCAATTGCTGCCCTAAAGAAGCATACAAACATGCACATTATACAGAAAAGGAAGGCAATTGATTGGCCCCTTTATCAGTTGAGAAAGAGGGTGATTTGCAAAATGTTGCATCGTGATGACAGGAACATAGGAGACACTACATCTTTGCAAGACCAAAATTATTATACACTATTAGCAGGATTCTGACTGCTATTGATGCGATAAGAAACTGTCTGGGCATAACAGGCATAGCAGAGGGCATAGTATCTGTACTTTGGTTCAAGTCTATTAGCTTGATATGCCATCTTTCTCCCAAATGCTGTACATGATACCTCTCAGATTATAACCTGAAAGGAGTACTTTTCCCCATATGTACTTACCTGCACCTTAAGATCTTCTAATGACGCTTTCCACCAAAGGAGGCCACTACAAGACAGAGTGTTTTTTCTCTGTGGGCATCCCATTTATGCAATGCTCGTCCCAACTGGTGCTCACAGTAGCACAATTTTGTATTTTATTTGATTTTGTTGTGTATGTTTCCAGGCATATTTTTAAGCATGTCTTATTGTAAACCATCCATAAAACTTCATTTTTTAAAATAATTTAAAACTTTTAAAAATTATATGATTACAAATCAATTTGAATAAGGGTGAGGGTTCAAACTCAGATTGGCTTGGAAATTAGGAGCATCCTCTCTTTGTTTTTTTATACAACATGGGATACATTGGATTTATTTATTTTTAAGCAAAACAAATACAAATCAGCAGTAACTTGCCCATCACTAGTGATTAAATATTTTTGAACATGGAATCCTATACTTTTAAGGCCAGATTTCTGTAACCAGAAATCTAATAACATTTAGATTTGAGCAAATCAGCCCAATTCAATTACAACAACTTTAGGTTTGATTTAAAAAAATGTTCACTCTTAGCATATAAGGGGGAAACATCAAAATGCCTGCAGCTGCTTCAATTTTAGCAGTTTCCCATACCTTTTTAGCAACAAGGAGAATAGACTCTTGGAAAATTCTAAGCCTGCAATTTCAATTGAATTCAGTGGTTTCCATACTACATTTCTGAAGTATTCCTTTCTGTATCCTTTTTAAAGCAAAAATAGTGGGATGACGACAACATAGGGCAGGATTATCTTTGCCAAATAGTCCAGCAAAGAGACTAAATTACATTGAACGAATGGATGACAACTGATAAAAATAATGATACAATATTCTGCCTTTGATCACTGGATTTCTGGAGCCCTAAGAGAGTTGGTAGAGCTGATTAGTTGGTATAGCAAACTTAGGGAGGAGCCCTCAGTAATGGCAGGACTTGATTGGGCCAATATTATACCTTGATGACAAAGAGAGATTATAGAGTAAGTGGTCACAGAGAAGGAAGCTGGTATTATATATAGACTTCTCATTTTCTATTCATAAATACAGCCATTTAGGCTGTTACCTCTTTGTATCAACTTGTCACCATTTCACTTACTGATGAAACTTAAACTTTGTTCATACAGAATTTTAAAAGGAGATTTGACTCAAGAGTCAATTCCTGACTGATTTGCCTTGCTTGCACTGGACACCCAGTGGTGTTTCCAGAACCAGCACAGAAATGTAATAATGCATTAGCATATCAGAGTATAAAATTAAGCTTATAACTAGGTGCTCAGAAAACTGGGAGGTGACGAAATGAATGAAGTCCAAACAATGTTAATATTTCCATCTCAGAGCAGGTCTAAGGGGGAGAAAGTTTAAGAAAATGACCTATGAAGTGGGCCAGTTAATATAACAGCACTCTGTTATTACACCATTACACCATTCAGCCTCTCATTGGGCAACTTTGCAAATTGTTTTAACAACCCTAGAAGCAGCAGAAAATATATCAAATCTGCAAAATGAATGCAGATGTGAATTGGGTTAAATGAATGCTTTTAATTAAAGCTTTGGCCAATCAGAACAAGGGGTAAAAACAGAAGTAACTGCACAGAGTTTCAAGTGGTATGTCCATTTGTGTAGAAAGACAGCTCTGAATAGATGGGGTAGCTAAAAACAGGATTTAAGGGGAGGAAAGTTCAGTAAAAGTGAGATAGCGGAAGTTATAGTTTTATTCCTCTGAACCTGAATTCACATAGTGTTCTGTACTGATGAGGCTGGCTCTACCAGACATATCCACAGCAAGCCAAGAATTTGTCAAAATAGTGATATGTGTGCCTTGATGTCATGATGCAAACTTCACCCATTATTTACTTGCAAAGAGAGTTTGTGTTGTAATATCATACCACACATTTTGTCATTTGTTCCTCATAGGCCCATGGTGGTGAACCTATGGCACGTGTGCTACAGATGGCACGCAGAACCCTCTCTGTGGGCATGTGCGCCATTGCCCCAGTCCTAGGCCTTCAGCTGGGTTTTATAAAACCTTTTCACTTTAGGCCTCTGTCGCTGTGTGCAAAAAAAAAAAGGTTCAATCAATCAATCAATTTCAATTTCTCTCGCAAAGTTGGAATTGATTGATTAACTTTTTAGTCCCACCCAGTCTACCATTACCACCGCAGCCCCGCCCACCCAATTGGCCACACCCACCCAATGAGCTATGCCCACTTGGCACCCGACGATACATAAGTGGGTTTTGGGTTGCAGTTTGGGCACTCGGTCCCTAAAAGGTTCGCTGTTACTGTCATAGGCCCTACTCAAGTGTGGTTCTTATTTCACCTTCATCCTTATTCAGCCTCTCCAAAGGAATACACTATATTACTCAGCCCATTTACGAAGTTAATGGTACCATCAAGTATATTTCATAAAGTATGTAAACTGAGGTAAAGTTTCTACATAAATCATTGATTTCAAGGATATATTCCACTATATTCTCATAAAGATTTCTATAGTCCTCTGATATTACACAAATACAAAAGTGCCAGATGTGGAAATACAATAGGTTGAAAAAAATCAAGGAGGATCTTTGGCAATAATTAAAAGTATATCTGAAAAATGTCATAGATCATGTTTGGTTCCCTTTTAACATCAATCATTTCAATTTACAAACTTCTCTTCTTTGCAACATTACCACACACTATAAAACCTGAACATTTATTACCAATTCTATATTATATACAGCATTAGATTTCACTGTAACATCTTGAATATCTGAAACCATTTTTTTCTATTCAATAGCTAATAATAGCTTTCCATGGTCAAATTTTCAGTACAGTAAAATAAAACCAAAGGGCAACAAACATGAAATTCACTTAACAAAAACAAAGTGCAAAGAAAATTCAAATATATACTGAAGATTTGGCTACATAACAGATGGATTGTCATTCAAAACTAAGAGTTCACTTGCATATTTCTTACTGTCCTAAATCAGTCAGCTCCATGTGTCAAGGGAGCCTCCTGGTGGCCGTAGTCTTCTATCACAATATGATAACTGAATTATATATTTTTTAAAAAAGCACAGTATCACATTGCTACTGTCACAATTGCATCTGCCATTTAAGTAAGATTTACCCAGCTTTTTCTCCATAAAGAGAGCATAATATTAGACAGGGATCCCTCACTTGATCATCTGAGTCTCTTCACTGGCATCATAGAATTCTTCATTGTCACTTTCAGTCCTGGATGAATCTTGATCAGACTAAAACAAAAGTAAGAGTTTGATCACAGGAATATTTCTTCAGCATGCTTTGGGTAAAATATTTAATAGGATCAATCTTGAGACTGCAATAACATTTTACCAATGTATGGATGGAAGACAGAAGTCTTTAGCAGGTTTACCTTCTCTTATTGTTTTTAGCATTCCAAATGCAATGGACATATTAAGAATAATTTACAAAGATTTTAAGGATTTAAAAAGTATTGAAATAGCATATATGAAAATACAGTAACTACTAGTGGAAATTATACGTGTATTCCAATAAATGTGTATTTTTTAATTTTATTATTCATAAAGAAAGCCGAGAGCCGAAGAATTAATGCTTCGAAATTGTGTTGGAGAAGACTGTTGAGAGTCCCTTGGACTGCAAGAAGATCAAATCAGCCAATCCTAAAGGAAAACAATCTTGATTGTTCCTTGGAAAGACAGATATTGAAGCGGAAGCTCAAATGCTTTGGCCACCAATTGAGAAGAGAGGAGTCACAGGAAAAGACCCTGATGTTAGGAAAGATTGAAGGCAAAAGGAGAAGAGTACGGCAGAGAATGAGATGAGTAGATAGTCTCATTGACCCAGTGGGCATGAGTTTGGGCAGACTCAGGGACACAGTGGAGGATGGGGGGGGGGTCTGGCATGCTGTGGTCAATTGGGTTGTGAAGAGTCAGACGTGACTTAGCGAATGAACAACAAAATACAATTTGTGCCCCAGTGAGTCATAGTTTCAGAGATACCGTATTTCCTTACCTAGACAGAAAAACAAAATCACTGTGAGCAGGCAAAAAAGTAATGGGAGAGGCATGACTTTCAACTTCCTGCAGACTTCCCCATTCAGTTTCCTTGTGGGAAGCTGGCAGGGAGCATCAGAAATCTTCCTTCCTTCCTTCCTTCCTTCCTTCCTTCCTTCCTTCCTTCCTTCCTTCCTTCCTTCCTTCCTTCCTTCCTCCCTCCCTCCTTCCCTCCCCTCCCCCTCAAATGCCTGCCAGCTTCCCCATTTCCAGCATGAAAATGAGTGGGCAGCCAGCAGGAATTGCAAGACCAAGGCTAATAGAACAGATTCTGTTGTGATGCCTCTTCTTCCATCTTCACAATTCTCATCATAGACACTAATTATGCCTGTTTGACTGTGATTTAAAATACCGTATGAAGCAACCTCTATAGAGTATAAATCACATTTTATACTTTATGCCAGAAGATGGAAACTATGGCTTTGAGATATAGAAGAACAATAATTCCCTAGCTAACATAACCAAAAATACTGGATATTGGGAGATGTAATTCAACAATATTTCAACTTCAACCCGATTAGTATGCTATATGAAACCTACCAACTATGGCTTATTCAGAAGCCACTCAAAACATGGTTTAGCACAATGAATGAATTTGGGGATTGATTGAAAATCAACTAGAAATTTCCATGCTAAGTAATAGAACTTGAATCATTCAGTTTTCAACACTGTACAAGACAATAGTTCTATTTTTGTTATTCTGTTTCATGTATTTTCAATGGTCAGTCAGAAGATAGGGTAAGGGTAGTAACTACTAACTAAGATATTATTTCTTTGACCAAAGAACTATGTATCGTAAAATGATTTAAATAATAACACTGTTGGGGATCTTCTTATGTATTTCTTTATGTGAATTTAGTTTGGGGGGTGGGGTGGGGGAGTTAAAGAAGAATGTTCACAACATTTCTAAGAGGAAAAAAAGCAATTATGTAAAACAGTGATTGGAAAATGCCATCAGTTGACACAATTATAAATAGATTTAGAAAATGATTATGTCCAACTCTTGAAATGTAATCAAAGAGACTCATCTTTCTGATGAATGGGAAGCTTTTCTGAATATTAAGAAAGTTTTCCTATATTTGCCTGTGGAAATGTAAATACATACAATAAAACCTCAATTTAATGAATCAACATTTAACAGATTTTAAATGCAAGAGACTAAACTGAAATAACACACAAGTCAGTTCCATGTAAAAATAGTTTGGTGGAGGCAGTTAAAATTTGCAATTAAATTCTATGTTAATCATTTGTGTTATATATTTTATATGTATAATTATATTAATAATTACTACTGCCTTGAATGGCATTATCTGAAATTTAATAGGTACTTGGGAATAGCAGATACTATTCCCCCAACTGGTTCATTAAATTGTTACTTTCTAATTAAGATTTTCCTAAAGAAGAAAGGGTTGAAAACAGATTAGATTGATTTACCAATTTGGTTCCTAGGGATAATCAAGTTAAGGCCCAAACCTTACTTATCCAAAGCTCTTTCCAGGCCATTTTAGTGAATTTGGTGATCTGGTTCACCTACCTTATCCACCTTCCTCCCCTCTTCTCCTTTTCCTTCAGTCTTGCCCTATCATATGTCAATGAACATTTTTTAGAAGTAGAGAAGTCTATAACTCCTTGTTTTTATTTCTTGAAACCCATCATGACAAGCTAACATGACATTAATTTAGAAAAGTTTTCCTAACCAACTTGATAATTGTGAATAAAATACCTGTGAATCTTCTAAGATCTTCAGTGACATGGCTTCACCCTCAAGCCTTCGATATGAGCAAACCGGTATATCAGATAATGTCTCCAACAGTGGGCTGTTTAGGGTTTCTGGCAGTAAGAGACTCAGAAGACCAGATAATACACTTGCCACTCCAAACACAATGTATGGCAGACACCAATATATAACTTTCTGTTTAAAAAAAAAAAAAGGATTATTTGGGGTGGCAATTATACTTTGGCATAATTAAATAATTTTAAAATGCTGCAAATTGCGTAAATTCAGTACCCCTTAACTGATCCCAAAGTATGTATTTTCAATATGTATGTTTATTCAATATATATTATATTCAATAATTTTAGTATGTAAGGAACTAAAAGAAAATTAAGTGTCAGAATCCAATTATATTTCATCTCTAGTTATCAACTATAGAAAACCCCATTTCTGCCTTCTCTGGATTCTGTCATACAATGAAGGGAAGGGGGAGAACAAAGGGGCTTTATGGCACTCACTTCCTTCAGTACACTTCAAAGGGACTGGATGTGGATATCACCAAAAGGACTAACCATAACAATGGGGCTATTACCTTTCATGTACTTCTTTCTGAAGTCTCCCTCCAGCCAGCAGTAAGGAAAAGGGGGTGGGAGTGTAATGCCTGAGACTGTCGCTGGAAGAAGGGGGTGGTTGGGTGGGGCTACTGGGGAACCCTTAAAATCTTGAATGGGAGAGCTTGAACCCCAAGTCCTATCTAGAACGCCTGCAACCATTTTCTCTTAATAAAGGATGCCTGTTGGAAGAACTATTCCAAGAGTTCTGTCTTCTTAAGATGCAAAGTGGGGTGGGTCCTTACATTAGACAGGATTTGCAAAAAAAAATTTTGCAAAAAAAATTACCATGTCAGACAATGGAGAAAGAAAGGGGGAAAACTCCCCGGAAAGAGAGCCGATGCCCCGACTGGAATGTCGGGATCCGAGAGGTCAGATTCCTCAGGGGAAGAAGTGGTGGAGGCACGAGACCACAAGCCTCGTTGGTCAATGGGCGTTGGAAAAAAAGGCGAGTGGGAAAAGAAATCAAGAAAGGTAACTCTGAGATGGGGGCCCAAGCAACCAGAATGGAAGCAGGAAATGGAGAAATCCCTGCACGCAAGTGAAGCCTTCAATGGAGAAAGCTGGGCACCATACTAGGACTGGATCCTAGAGAAAGCTATTGACCTGATGAAGAGAACTCTCAGCTCCCTAGGAGAGGAGAATCCTGAGCCCTATGGCCGCCCCAGCTCCTGGAGCCGCAAAGGGAGAGACACCGAGGGGGAAGTGGAACCTGCAACCCCGGGGACATCTGCTGATCCAGTAGTCCCCACCCCCTACCAAACCACAGATGGTGATCTGGACGGAAGACACTACTACTAACAACGGAGGCACCGATCCATTCCAAGATGTCCGCCATTGGAGGTGAAATTCAAAGGGGAGCCAACACGCTTGGGGTTTTTCCTAACCCAAGTCCTCAGCTACATGGAGGAATACAGGCGGAACATCCCCAGCGACAAAGCCCGCATCCGGATCATGCAATCTGCCCTGGATGGACCGGCTGCAGATTGGGTGGTGAACTTGCACGACTCCAATGCCCCAGAGCTCAACGACTTCAACTGTTTCATGTCCTCTCTGAGAAGGCGATTTGAAGACCCTCTGGCTGATCGCCAAGCCCGCGAAAGGATAAAAATGATGAGGCAAGGCAAACGCCCGGTGGCTGAATATACGCAAGAATTCCGGGCCATTGCCAGCAAATTGAACTGGCCAGAAGACAGCCATTTCAAAGACGGACTAAATTATGACCTATATGACGCTTGCCTGCCCCGAGGGGACCCACACCAACTTGAGGAATGGTACGTCTTGACAGAGGAAGCAGAGATCGACATATTAAAGAGACACTGCCGAGGAAAACAATGGAGCCTGAGTTGACACACGAACCAGTGAAACCATTGGCTACAGCCAAGAAGCAAATGGGGTGTTTCCAGTGCAGAACAGAAGGGCATCGAGCTGTAGAATGCTGCTCCAAAGCCCCCCAGCACAACCCAGACAGATCCCTGATCAGCAAATCCGGAAAGTCTTCAGCTAAGCCAAAAGAAAATGCCATGATAGAAATTGTGGAACCCCCCCCCCCACCTCTGCTCATCAGAGGGAAAAAACTCCAGCCTATACCGCAGGGCCGGTGGATGCCTCAGATGACAGCTCGGAAGGCGAACCCCTGGTAAGTGGACACATCGCACCCATCCTCAAGACAGTGACTATATTAATTCCCCCGATGCCCGAAGCCATGAAGGTGAAAGCCTTAATAGACTTTGGCTGCACCTGCTGCCTCATTAGCCCGACACTAGTGGGGAATCTGGGCATTCTGTTGAGGAGACTGGAACAACCAATCTCATTTGGCCAGTTAGATGGATCCATAGCAGGGGGGATGCCAGCTACCCTAGCCACTTTACCAATACACCTCTCCCTGGGCAAACATGAGGAGGACCTAATGTTTGTGATGACCCCAGGCATGGAATGCCCAATGATCCTAGGGATGGAATGGTTAAAAAAATGGAACACCTGGGTGATTTGGAGGATGACAGTAATCAAATTCCAGAAGGGGGACCCTATGGACTTAAAATCCCAAGGGGCGCTACCAGAATCAAGAATAGAAAAAGCATCCATGGGAGAGGAAAAGGGACCACCAGAAATACCAGAGGAATACAGAGACCTTTATCTATCTATCTATCTATCTATCTATCTATCTATCTATCTATCTATCTATCTTTCTATCTATCTATCTATCTATCTATCTATCTATCTATCTATCTATCTATCTATCTATCTATCTCTCTATCTATTTTTAAAATTTATATGCCGCCCAATCCCTAGGGACTCAGGGCGGCGTACAAAATTAAAATAATAAATATAACAATAAAACAGTAAAATAAGTGCATTCATACAGCATGCCCCAATCATATCCCGCCCCCCCCCCCGGGGACATCAACCCCAGGCCTGCCGGAACAGGAGAGTTTTAATAGCTTTCTTAAAGGCCGGCAAGGTGGGAACAGTTTGAATCTCGGGGGGAAGTTGATTCCACCAGGTCGCAGCCACCACAGAAAAGGCCCTTCCCCGAGGGCCCACCAGCCGACATTGTCTGGCCGACGGGACCTGATGGAGGCCCAGTCTGTGGGACCTCACCGGTCTCTGGGAACTATGCGGCGGTATGCAGTCCTGTAAGTAACCTGGTCCTAAGCCATGAAGGGCTTTAAAGGTGATAACCAACACCTTGAATTGCGTCCGGAGACCCACAGGAAGCCAGTGCAGCTCGCGGAGGATAGGTGACACGTGGGTGTACCTTGGTGCACCCACAATCGCTCTCGCGGCTGCATTCTGAACCAACTGCAGCCTCCGAACGTTCTTCAAGGGTAGCCCCATGTAGAGCGCATTACAGTAATCCAGTCTTGAGGTGACAAGGGCATGAGTGACCGTGAGTAGAGCCTCCTGGTCCAAATAAGGCTGCAACTGGTGCACCAGGCGAACCTGGGCAAAGGTCCCCCTGGCCACAGCCGATAGATGTTGTTCCAAATTTAGCTGTGAGTCCAGGAGGACACCCAAGTTGCGTGCCTGCACTGAGGGAGGTAAATTTACCCCCCCCCAGGACTAATGATGGACCATCAGGATGACCCTTGGGGAGCAAGACCCAGAGCCACTCGGTCTTGTCAGGGTTGAGTCTAAGCCTGTTCACCCCCATCCAGACCCTCACATCTTCCAGGCAACTGCACATCACATCGACTGCTTCACTGAAAGGACACGGGGTGGAGATATACAATTGGGTATCATCCGTATATTGATGATACCTCACCCCGTGTCCCCGAATGATCTCACCCAGCAGTTTCATGTAGATGTTAAAAAGGAGGGGGGACAGGACCGAGCCCTGAGGCACCCCATGATCGAGGTGCCTAGGGGTCGATCTCTGTCCGCCCGCCAGCACCGACTGCGACCTGTCAGAGAGGTAGGAGAACCACCGCAATACGGTGCCGCCCACCCCCACCTCTCCGAGACGATGCAGAAGGATACCATGGTCGATGGTATCGAAAGCCGCTGAGAGGTCAAGAAGCACCAAGATAGAGGAATGACCCCTATCCCGGGCTCGCCAGAGGTCATCGGTCAGTGCGACCAAAACAGTCTCAGTGCTGTAGCCGGGCTTGAAACCAGATTGAAAAGGGTCCAAGTTTTCAGTGAGGAGAGGGCGGATGAGCTCCCCCCCACCGACTCACAGACTGTGCCATTGAATTCAAGCCTGGGGCAAAACTCCCGAAGCCCAGATTATACTCCATGAGCCCAAAGGAGAAGGAGGAAATGGAAAGATTCATAAAAAAGAAACCTAGAGAGGGGTTTCATTGAGCCAGCCAAGCCTAAAGTGGCTGCCCCAGTCCTCTTTAGAGAGAAGAAGGATGGCTCTTTACGCTTATGCGTGGATTATAGAGCTCTGAATACAATCAGTGAAAGCAACCTATACCCTTTGCCCCTCATGAAAGACATGCTGTCACACCTCTTGAAAGGGAATTTTTTTTTTCTAAACTAGACCTAAGGGAAGCTTACTATCGCGTGAGAATTAAGGAAGGGGACGAATGGAAGACCGCATTTAACTGCCCCATGGGGTGCTATCAATTCAAAGTCTTGCCATTTGGATTACAAGGGGGCCCTGCAGTCTTTAAGCAATTAATCAATGACGTTCTAAGGGAGTACCTGTTTAAGGGGGTCCTTGTTTACTTGGATGACATTCTTATCTTCACCGAAACAAAAGAGGAACATGTCGACCTTGTCAGAGCGGTTTTAAAGAAGCTGCGAGCCGCCCACCTATATGCCAAACTCTCAAAATGCGAATTCCACCAGGAAAGGATAGACTACCTAGGTTATCGCATATCCCCCCAGGGCATTGAAATGGACCCAGAGAAGGTCAGAGCAGTATTAGATTGGGCACCACCCCGCACAAGAAAGCAACTGCAAAGTTTCCTGGGCTTCGCAAACTTTTACCGCCAATTCATCCCCTCATTTGCCCAGATAGCCTTGCCCCTCACTAACTTACTAAAAACGAAGGGAGCATCCTCAGTAAAACCTAGCCAGCCACTAACATGGACAATGGAGTGCCAAGCAGCGTTTGAGAGACTAAAGAGACTTTTT